ATTTTCGGTTGCCAACACTCTGTGTACAGAGTTTCAGACTCACTTCTTATCTTAAACCGTTAGAGTCTTAATTACTTGCAACACAGTTAATCACATTCAAACCAAACATTCGGTTTGCAACAACTCCAATTCTCAACTGCAAGTGACACTCCAAGATAGAACGAAGTCATCAAACACTTCAATCAGTGAAGAAGGACGATCGATCGCAACAAGCAAGCGACGCGATCAATCGAAGGAAGCATCCACCGCTACCAGAAGAACCCAGTTTTAAACAAAGGGGAGAACAAATTCATTCTCCTCTCTTTTTAATCGAATCCAAATTGTAATTGATTTTGAGAGAAATACAAGTCAAATTTTTTCTTTTATTTCTTTTACTACAAATTTCCAACAAACAGGTACGGTCATTTGTTGGCACCCTTCGCGGGCCTGCCTTCGATTGGTACCGCCGTCTCAAGCCCGGAAAAATCAACAGTTGGGAGGATCTGGAGAACATGTTCCTCGCTCATTTCTTCGATGATGACGCCGAAGTGTCGATCAGGACACTCTTAGATGAGAAATAAAAAGACGGAGAGTCGGTGGATACCTTCATCAAACGCTTCCGCAATCAGGCAATGAACTGCAAGGATCCCGTCACGGAGGAATTCGCCTTGCAAACCTGTCATAACAACTTGTCCATTAACATCTTGGACGTTATGGGAGTAGAGCCGCTCAATACCTGAAAAGAGTTGAAGGTGCGCGAAGATCAGGCCGAACGCTTCCTCAGAAGGAGGAAGGTCGAAAGAAGCCAACCGATGGTAAAACCTCTGAATCCGAGTCTTATTTCCCATGATGAAGGGAAAGCACCTACAACAGTTGTTGACGTTAATCAGACGTCGCAACAGCAGCCCCGAAGACAGCAGAAGACTTCGGATTCGAGGCTCCAAAAAGAGTACTCATTCAAGGACGAAGACGTTCCAGCCATCTTCGAGACCCTTCTTGAAAACAATAAGATTAAGTTGCCACCCATCACGAATCAGGAGGAAGCTGACAATACTACGGATCCGAAGTACTGCGCGTACCACAGGAGGGACTTTCATCCCACCAAGACTTGCTTTACTTTAAAGAATAGCATTCAGACCTTGGTTGAAGCCGGCGTCATAACGCTGGGATAAGCCAAATGAGAACGGCAAGACTCCGACAAGTATAAGAGTATAAACTGCTTCTTCCAAGACTCCGACAAATATAAGAGTATAAACTGCTTCTTCCAAGACTCCGACAAGTATAATAGTATAAACTGCTTCTCAATCCTCCGACCGGTATAAGAGGTTAAACTGCTACCTGATACTCCAATTGGTATATGAGTCTAAACTGTTTCATACCGTTGACAAGAAGTTCCTGGAGAATTTTTATATGTAATATTCCTAAGGATAACCCGATCATGTAACCGAATGCAATGATAAACCCAGTTTCGCGAAGAAGCTGGGGGTGGATGATTCATGTAACGGAAAGTTTCCGGAAGAATACTATATGTAATTTTCTTAGGGATAGCCCGATCATTACAAACAAAGTGATAAACACTAAAACCCCACTGTGATTTCTGAACACTCTTTTACTAAGATGAGATTCGATCGCTTCATTGGATCAATCTTCCCTCACAAAACTCCTATTGGTGTTTGACGACAGATCAACCAATCCTCACAAAATTCCCCCACTGATCAAATCAATTGGCGGTGGGTCCACTAAAATTTCTATCCGCCAATTCATGGTAATTTTCAAAATTTGACGTGTTAAGTCCTGATCACTTAACATCAAAATCCTCCATCGAGTGGCTAGTACAAACCAGTATTTCTACTGCTACTTGTATTCCACTCCCTTTGCTTTCAGATCAAACCTATAAAAGTTAGGACCAAAGCCAGATTCCCCTCTCGATTCCTTCCATGAACGAGAGGTCCACTTTTAAATTGAGCAATTAAACCTATAAAAGTTAGGATTGTCTCCAACTTTACTTAGTCAAACATGCAGATAGTTAGGACTAAGATTGAGTTATCCCTTTCGATAAATGAAAAACTTCCATCTTTTTCTTTTTCAGCCAAACCTATAAAAGTTAGGGTCGAAATCGGAATTTCCCCTCAATAAATGAGTAACTCTTTTCTTGGATCAAGTAATCAATCCTATAAAAGTTAGGGTTACTTGAATCTTTTCGATTCTCGGAGTGGAGATCCCACTCCTAGTTTTATCTTTTCGGATTCTGGGGGTGGAGATCCCACTTTGAGTTTTCTTTCCAACTGAAGATTGAATATAAAATTCTTTCTCTTTGGTGCCGGGAGAGAGAATATAAAATTCTTCCTCTTTCATTTTGGGTTCGTCTTTACCCTGAGAAAAGACACAATTCTCAACTTTAAATCCGTACATTCCATACACGGGGAACTTTATCTCGACTCCTAAATAGAGATAAGCCTACGTCTAACACACGTTGCCGGTTTAGTCTTTCACCGATTGAAAAAGACACCAGAATCCAGTCTGGGGTATTTTATCCCGAATCCTAAGTAGGGATAAGTTAGCGCCTAATACGCGTTGCCGGTTAGTCCTTAACCATAAAAAGGACAAAAGCCCACATATTTAATATTATGGCAGATTGTTATTAATAATGCCAAAATCCATGCTTCATACGCACGGGGAATTTTATCCCGAAGCCTAAGCAGGGATAAGCCAACGCCTAATACGCGTTGTCGGTTTAGTCTTTTACCGATTAAATAAGACATCAGAATCCGATTCTGGGGACTTTTATCCTGAATCGTAAGTAAGGATAAGTCAGCGCCTAACACGCGTTACCGGGTAGTCTATTCCCGTGACAAAGACAAAGTCTACGCATTCAATATCGTAGCATCAAGTCTAAGGGAGTTCATTCCTTTAGCACAACGTCACATGTGGAACGGACTTAAAACAATCCGTATGTAAGCCCGATTCAAACGGTAATCGGTAAGAGCGCGTCAAATCCGTTGAGGGCTGAGGATTTGCCAAAAATCCTAAGTCAACGTCTGATACACGTCGCTGTTTAGTCTTTTCACAGGAGAAAGACGAAGTCTACGTATTCAATATCGTAGCACTAAAAGGGTTAACTCTTTTAGCTTAACGTCACATGCGGAACGGACTTAAACAATCTGCATGTTAGCCCGACTCAAACGATAGTCGGTAAAGGCTAATCAAACCCGTTGATGGCTGAGAATTTGCCAAAAATTATATAAATGCGAGTCATTAACGCATCATCTTCATTAGTTGGTCTCATAACTTGAGCATTCAACAAACTTCGGAATAAGATCCATATCTGCAGACGAATCAGCTTTAACAGCTGGTCCTGCAGCCCCAACATTTGGGACCGCTATGCTCCAATACCTTAAGAGCTTAAACTGTGTATACTTCAACAAACGTACGAGTATGAACTGTATTAACGTCGGGCGATCCGAAACCCTAGGTCAATGCCGGTCAACGCGTAACCCTAGGTCAACATCAGCCAACGCGTTGTGACAAAAAGTCAGCATATAGCGATCTGAAACCCTAAGTCAGCACGATACCACGGAGGTAGTCAGTTCTAAGTCAACTCAATGACACGAGCCAAACTCAACTCATCAGTTTTAGACTCGAGACTCCGACGACAGCCAGACGATAAATGCAGCACCGGAAGGATTTCAGCTATTCGTCAAAGCATCGAGTAGACTGAAAATCGAAGGAGCCAAGAGTTGAAGCTAACTACAGATCCTTTACACCGATCGAAGGCTGGACCAATCACATCCAAAGTATTCCAGCCTCTTCTATAAAAGAAACGAGTCTGGAACGCTTTGGAGGGGGTATCTGTAGGCATCAAAAATTACCTATAGGTCTCCACGAACGGCTTGGTGCTAAGAAAAGATGATGAACGTCGCTATCCAATTCACAGAAGCTTGATTAACGTCGACGAATGCCTAAAATGGATCGATGAACTACGTGAAGCAACGGAGTTTCAGAATAACGAGGATACGAACTGACCGGGAGCCTCGTATCGCTTACAAAAGGCGAAACGCCCTTCGTGTCTCATCCACTCCATAGATGATTCAATCATAGGATCTTATAGAACTCCTCGTTGGCTTTCCAACGCACTTTGAATTACTCAAATCCGAGTTCGGACGAAGAAATTACGGCGAAAACGGACGAATATGCAAAATAAGCGTCTCAGCTGAGTTGAGACACCACGGGGTGTCTCGGCCCAACCGAGATACCCTAAGGGTGTCTCGGCCTCGCTGAGACACCCTGGGGTGTCTCCAGGCCCAAAAATGAGCTGTTATGTTATTTCAACCACCCCGAGCCTATAAATACAAGCCTCAGACCCTCATTTTTCTAGATCTGGAACTTTGGAGATTAGGCGAAATCCTGTCGGATTAAAGATCAAAAGTGCATGAATTTCAGAGAGGATGAGGAGGAGAGATCGGATCGAGTTCGTCGGCATAAAGAAGAGGAGCTCGTCAGATTGCAGTTCCCCGGGTTCGTTCCTTAAGATTATCCCGTTGCGATAATCTTAAGAAGGGCAATTATCTCGTCGTTGCTGAGATAAGCGCTACGGTTTCTTGATTCCTTCGCGAATCAACGAAGCTCTGCCCGATTTTTCGGCAATCAGATCTGATCGACAGTGGTCCACGGGTAAACCCCCGGCACAGGCAAAAACACCCACGCAAGCAGAAGATCGATAAACGATCTCACTGCGTTTGTTTGACAAAGTTATAAACTTGTTTTATTTTCATTGTGTAAGGAGATCTTATAAAAAGATTACGTTTGTTTGACAAAGTTATAAACTTGTTTTATTTTCATTGTGTAAGGAGATCTTATAAAAAGATTAACTTTTTATTTTATTCGAGTTTATCTTATAAAAAGATTAACTTTTTATTTTATTCGAGTTTATTGTAATGACTAAAGTTGTAATAGATTCGGTAGCAATGAAAACAATGAAAACATCAACTTTCACCGCAAACACTAAACACGAGTGCAATTCATAAAATAACGGTCAAAATCACACACAAACACAGGAATTTACGTGGTTCGGCAATTGCCTACGTCCACGGGGAGATGATGAGGAGATTTTAACCCTAACCAAAGGTCTCAACTCCCTCACAATATCTCCCTCTCAAAGTGCTCAAAACAATGCTAATTCTCTCCTTAAGAAACCCTAAAAAACGTGGTTCTATTTATAACAAAACACAATACCAAATAGATTAGGATTCTAAAAACAAGTCTGCCACACCCTGGTGTGGCACACACCACACCCATGGCGAACATGGCACATTCTGTCACATCAGGGTGTGGCAGACACCACACCCATGGCAAACATGACAGATTCTACCACCAGTGTGGCAGACACCACACCAGGGTGTAGTTGAGTCTGTTTTGCTTATTTTTTACGTTTTTCTCAATTCCTTTGCCGTTTTCACAGGAATTGTACTAGTAACACAATCCTTTTTTTTTAACTTAATAATGTTACTTTGATATATGTTTGTTATACGTAGATGGTGGGAAGAACTGGATCTAGTACACAAAGTTGATTTCTCAAGGGACCGCATAGTTGAAGTTTACCTATGGACGAATGGAACTATATGGGAACCCAAATTTTCCAAGTGCAGGAAAGTATTGGCAAAGTTTATTAGCGTTGGAAATGTGATCGATGATTTTTATGATATACATGCCACACTAGAAGAAGCCCAACTATTCACAGCGGCAATTAGAAGGTTCGTAAGCAACACAAATCTTTTCATTCATCTCCATGTTTCGTGTATTTTCAATAACATCTTATTATAGGGTAATTTCACAAAACCCCCTGCATCTTGGGCACAAACTTCTATATCTTGAGGTTTTCCAATAGTTCAGGGTGGCTTAATATAATTTTTTGAAAGTTCTAGGAGCCTTTCTCTGATTCATAAAGTTCATTGGTGCTGTGTGTAAAAACTCCAAAATTCATGGGGGGTGGTTTTGTTGGAAATAACGCAATATACTAATAAAACAGTTTAAGAGTCGATGGTTTTGTTGGAAACTAACCTGTGTTAGTAAAGAATATCTATCATAGATCATACTTATTTATCTAATATGTCTAAGTTAGCGACGCTAACATAATTAAAATTTGACATTTTAATTTTTTCCACTTGTTTCATTTATTAGGTGGGATCTCAAGGCCATGGAAGGCCTCCCGGATTACCTGAAGTTATGCTATTTGGCAGCATATAATTTGGTTAATGAGTTCGCATATGTTTTCCTCAAGGACTTCGGATTTGACATCAGACCTCACTTAATAAATGAGGTATAATATTAACTTCATATATATCACATTCATCAGCTGTGCCTGTACTAATGAAGAGCACACCTACTTACATCCTCGTGATCCTGTTGTATTAATTACTACTTCCGATGATGATGGTAATTAATAAAATAGAACGAGATAAATACTAATTAAGTAGCTAATTAAACCCCCAAGGTGCATGCATCTTTAGTTAATTAACCTTAATTAATTTGCTAATACTGATCATGTGCTAACTGATTTATTCAGTGGATACGTCTGTGTGAAGCATGCTTGAGAGACGCGCAATACATTCACGAGGGCATAACGCCGTCTCTTGAGAAATACGTGGAAAATGGTTGGATTTCAATTGGCTATCCCATGTTTCTCGTCCATGCATTTTATTTTGTAGACCACAATTTTACAGAAAAATCACTCGATCTTTGGGAGCACTCACACCAACTACTCTACCTCTCTGGGGTCCTCACTCGACTTATGGATGACTTGGCTCCTTCTAAGGTATGAAATAAAATGGGTATATATATATATATATTAGTCACTTTGTTATATTTATCATTTAAATTCTTAATCATGATTAAATTTATTGTTAACCAAGGACAACTAGTACTATCACACCCAAAAATGTTAAATTAATAAGGATATGTTACCTCAATTTCAGCCCATCTTTAACCAGATAAACTAATTTTAAATCGCCTAAAAATTTTGAGGGACTAATTTTAATTTGATGACTTGAGAAACTAATTTCAAAATATGAACGATTTGCACTCTCTTCCTGCCTAAACTATTTGGGATATTTTATACACTTTAACAAGATAAGTTCTTACCAAAGCATTATGGTCCGTGTAGCGGTATATGTTTTTTAATCTGTTTCTAAGTGGCTTGATTGATGAGATTTGAATATTGATTGTTCTCTTACCATGTTCAAGATCCCTCTAACTATGTCAAAACTCTAGAGTTTGTGATGATGGTTGAGGGCTATATTGCATACTCTTATAATTGCTAGGATAATTTTTTTTGATAGGAATATGAATGGTATATATTCTGAAACTTAAAAAAATTCATTGTACTTTTTGTAATAAGAAATGTTCTTTTTAATAGAGTTTATCATAGGTTTTGGAGTTGGTCTAGAATAGTCTGTCCTTTTTGGATAAGAATTTGTTAAAGACAGAGTAATAGAGGTTTTTTAGCAATAGAAATTCTATTTGGATAGGAATTTAGGAACATTTACGGTACATGAACTTAACCCCTATTCAAGGAGTTGAATTCTTATATTAAAAAAAAAAAGAAAACTTTGAGAGAAAGAGAGTATCCCAAGAGAGAATCTATAGATAAAATTAATAGCAAAGTTATCTATCTTTGAGAGAATCTATAGATTAAATTGATCTCATCTGTGTTGAGTTGTAATCTCTCTTCTGATTTAGTACAAGTTTATATGAGATTGCCCATGGACGTAGGAGTTGCTCCCGGTCATATAAATGCATCTGTGATCTTTTTTGTATTTTATTTTGATTATTGCTCTGTCATCTTTTCCGCAACAATAGACAACACCTCTAATAATTCATGATAGTTTAGTAGACATATTATTTTAACAAGAGATATATATTATTTACCAATTGCTATTATATTTTAAAGGCTGAGATGGATGGATTGCAACCTTCAGCAGTTTTTTGCCGTATGAAGGACTCAGGTGAGTCATACGAGACAGCAACAAAATACATCAAGGATCAAATAAGTATCTACTGGAAGAAACTCAACGAGGAACTCGTCAATGGTAATCATCCTCAAATCTTTAGGGACGTAACAATAAATTCGTGGAAAACTACCTTCACAATGACACAATATGGAGATGACGTTGGCAATCCCGCTGGCGCAGCGAAGGACAGAATCCGCTCATTGTTTTTTGAACCTATTCCCATGGAATAATTTTATTCCTATGTTTTTAGTATAAGAATTTGCACCTTAATTTATCATTTGGTAATTTGGCTGTAATATTTGTTGGAACTTGTTAACTTTTTCTCTTGATGCGCCATGTGTTTCGTAACTCCTCTAGTTTTTACTGTTCTTATATATTTTCATGTTCTACCATAATTATCCTATTGTTAAATTTCCGTCAAAAAAATAATTCTATATGCTTTTATTGTTGCAATAATTTATAATGTGTATACCATCATTCACCAAACAAGATACAGTCTCTCAAATCTTTCATATTTCCAGATTAGTCTCTCAAATCGTTTGGAAAATGGTTTGCAAAATTAAAGAGATCTAAGATTTTTCTATTTGAGCATAAACGACCTTTTATTATTTGTTTCGAACTTTCTTTTGGTTTTACGGCATATTTAAGCTGATCAAATTGAGGGTTGAGAACCAACTAGGATTAGGAATTACTTACTATGAGGAGTTAGGTTAGACGACTAGTTTTTTTGGGTTAAAACTAGGGTGCGGTCTTGTACTCCTACTAAATCAGATTTGTGATTCAAGAGAGTTCTTTTATAGTGAGGAAGTCTATTCGCGAGAAGGAAGAGTGATAGTAAGATTGTTTATCCATAAAAATATTGTATATTCTAGTTGTTTGTTTCTATGGTTGATTTATTGCTTATTATTCGTTTATCGCTATAAATTGTTTTTTCGCAGCATAATTTTGATAACGCAGAAAACAGTAGACAGTTCTAATCATCCTTTTTCTAGACTTGCATCTCAGATTCAACAAAGATGAGCATAGTTAAAGGCCAGAATGATTCGTGAAAGTCCAAAATGAATTTTAATAGAAAGTTCACCTTTTGATCTTCAAATCCAACAAATTGAAGAGGGAAATAATCACTGATTTTTCTGTGAAAATAATTAAAAATCAAATACACAACTCATTCATCACAAATCACACGAGAATGTGGTGCAAATAAGGGGTTGTTTGGTTCGGCCAAAAAAGTTAAAAAAACACCCCCAAAAAAGGGGAAATGTGTTAGTTTTCCAATTTTATGGGTCACTTCCAATGTTTGTTTCGAACCTATTTTATTAGAAGTGAGTTCCCAAAATATCATCCCACATCACTTGTAAAATCCATTTCTTAACTTTTTTTAGAGGAAATAGGCTAAAGTTTGTTAAAATAAAATATTTTAAGAGTTTTTGGCTAGGGTGACATTTCATATGGGTATGCTTTCCTATTTTTAGACAAGGATCCAATCAATTGAAATTATGATTTTCTAAGAATTGAGGTTGTTTTTGCCCCAACCAAACAATAAAAATCCATTTCTAAGAGGCCTTCTATGATTATTACTCTCAACTTTTTGGTCAGAAGCATGACAGCAACATGTCTGTCAATTGGACTTATTTATATCCTAATCCAAATCCAAATCTGATAGCTCTTGAGGCCCTATTCTCTGAATCAGAGGTAAAACATGCGGTCTTTAGCATGAACCTAAACAAATCACCTGGACCAGATGGATTTTCTCTTCTTTTCTACCAATCCTTCTGGGATTTAATCAAAGATGATCTTGTGGATCTTATGAATTTTTTTGGTCAAAACCCATCATCACTACACAGAGTTAATAAAGTCCTCATTACTCTCATTCCAAAATCAAAGGAATGTCCAACAGTTAAAGATTTTAGACCGATCAGTTTGATAAACTGTATTTTCAAAATCTTTACAAAAATCTTAGCAACAAGGTTATCTCCTCATTTGAAGGATCTCATTTCTCCTACTCAGTCTGCTTTCCAAACAGGAAAATCTACTCTTGATTCGATCCTTGTTGCTAATGAGATGATTCATTTTTGTTCTAAGAAGAAAAAGGAAGTGGCCATGATTAAGATTGATTTTGCTAAAGCTTTTGACTCTATTAGTTGGGATTTTCTTACAAATTTGCTAAAAGCTAGAGGATTTGGTGACAAATGGTGTTCTTGGATTTATCATATTATCTCCTCTTCAAACTGTGCTGTTCTTGTCAATGGATCTCCATCAAGATTTTTTAAATGCAATAGAGGTCTCAAACAAGGAGACCCACTATCTCCCCTGTTGTTCAATATATCAGTTGATGTCTTGAGTAGAATGATTATGTGCAATGTGGATGAAGGGTCTTTAGCTAGCCTGCGCATTAAGGATCCCCTTAACCATATTAGGAGTCTTCAATTTGCTGACGACACTTTAATTTTTGTCAAAAGTACCTACAAAGATATATCTCTTCTTAAGACAATTCTATACATCTTCGAAGACATTTCAGGACTGGGTATAAATTTTACAAAATCATCTATGGTTTATTTTGGAAATATTCACAAAAGAGGAGTTTCTTTAGCTTCATCACTCAATTGCAAATTAGACACACTTCCAGTCAAATATCTTGGCTTACCCTTGAAAAGTGGAAAAATATCAAAATCTGATTACCAACCTCTACTGGATAATTTACATCGTAAACTTGCTTCTTGGAAGAGCAATTGCTTATCGATGGGAGGGAAAGTTGTCTTACTAAACTCAGTCCTCTCCTCAATCCCATTATATTTCATGTCTTTCTACAAACTACCAGACTGGCTTATCAGAGACATTGACAAAATTAGAAAGAACTTCCTCTGGAATGGTAAGAAAGAATCAAAACCTTTTAAATGCCTGGTTAGTTGGAAAAAGGTATGTTTAAGCAAATCTGAAGGAGGCCTGGGTGTGAAAGATCTCAAAAATTTTAATATAGCTCTTCTATCCAAATGGTTATGGAAATGTTTTGATAAAGAATCTTTCATTGGTGCTTTTCTTCATCATCTCTACATCAGAAAAGTTTCTTTATTGCAATTAGCTAATTGCAATGTCAACAATTCTTAATTCTGGAATAATATCATTTCCAACAAAGAAGCTTTTCTTCATCTCCTTTCATGGTCTCTCGGCTCAGGTGAAAAGATTAGATTTTGGGAGGACAGATGGATTGGCTTCAACAGTCTATCAAGCTTATATCCATCTTTGTACAACTTAACCTTATCCAAAAATGTCTCCATTCGTAGTCAAGGTATCTACCAAAATAATTTATGGCATTAGCATCTTTTGTTGAAGAGAAGTATCTCAGATGAATCTCAATATGCTAAACTAAACCTATTGACTCCTATTAATATGCAAAGTATTACAAATCAGGCTGATTCTCCTAGATGGTCTCTTACATCTAGTGGCTCATTCACTGTTAAATCATATTATGAGTTCTTAAACTCCAGGGGTATCAAATATGCTTTTTTCAAAATAGCATGGAATCCAATTCTACCCAGCAAAATACAGATTTTCATTTGGCTTTTATCTCTGAATCGCCTACAAACCAAAGATAATCTCATGAAGAAAGGGTGGCAAGGCGATCCTACATGTGTTCTATGTGATGCGCACATTGAATCTGAAAATCATCTCTTCTTTTCATGTAATACATCTATGGCAGTCTGGCAACATTTGGAAACTATTTCTTACCTTTCAATTGGCCAACCTCTCTAGATGATATGTTGTTATCTGTTGCATCTCTACAAAAAAGCTGGATGGACTCACATGGCGCACCATCTTCTCTGCAGTCTGTTGGTCTATATGGACTTCAAGGAACAAATTTATCTTCGAACAGAAATCTTTTTCAGCTGAATCAATTATTAACTCTTCTATTCTTGCTTTGTATGACTGGACAGAATCGGGAAGAAGGAAGGAAGCTTATCAGTTGGCAAATGTGTTCAAAGCAAAACCAATACCTCGCAGTAGCAGTTAAGAAATCTGGAATTGTCTAAGAATGATGTACATATATATTTTTGGTAGTGTTATCTTGTTTTTTAAATTGATCTATAGAAAATTTAATTTCTTTTTTGCTACATGTATGGCCGGCTTTGGTTCTTCTTTATATCTATGTCAACGATGAATGACGGCAAGGCCCTCTCTTCATCTTCATGGATGTTTAGGAGAAGAAGGTTATACATCAATGGCTAAGAGAAATTAAGTTTTCTATCTATCAACTGACGGATACAGTTCGTATCCAATTTTTGTAAAGATACTTATATTTTTATTAAATGAACAGGGTCCATCCCTTGTTTTTCCATCAAAAAAAATCTAAGAAGTGGATGGAAAACACAAAAAGTCCCCCCCCCCCAAAAAAAAATATTTTCCCATAATGGGAGTTCCAAGCGGCCCCTAAATTTACATTTTAAAGTTAATCATGCTCTGGCTTCTCTTCTAGTCTGTCGATGATGGGCTTTGTTTATTGACTTTTTGAGATTAGCATCTACTTGTTAGGTTTTCTAACCCCTGTTACGATTTGAAAACAGAGATGAGGAAGAGAAAAAAGAATAATCACAGAGAACACATAGAATTTTACGTGGTTCACTTCTCAACGAGAGAAGCTACGTCTACGGTTCACTATTCTCAGGTTGGTTTACAAGCTGCCCTAACCACCCCTTTTATAGCATAGGGTTCTTACAAACAAGAATCTCAAACAAACCAGAAAACGAGCCCAGGCCCAAACCCGAGTCATGGTCGACCACCAACAATGGCGCGGTTGACCGACCAGAACGTTAAAATCTCAGGAAACCAATTACAGGGTCCGCGATCGATCGGGCCTAGCCTCACGATCGACCGGACCTAGCCTCACGATTGACCGACCAGAATGCAGAAACACACCCTGTAGTGTGCATGTTTTCCGATCAATCGGGCCTTGCCTCGCGGTCGACTGGCCATCACCCAAAACGTTCGACCGGCCAACACCCAAAAATGTTGCCTACTTCGTTTTTCCTGTTCTTGCATATTTTTCTCTTCAATGCAGTGAATAGGGTCGAGCCTGATAGTTAGGCTCGACATAGCCTAACAATCTCTCACTTGGAGACTAACTTTCTGTCTTTATGACCTTTCCTACAGCGACAGCCTCCCATATTATCAAATAATGAAGCCTATTGAAGTTGAACACGACAAAACTGTCTCTCAACTTCTTGTTGCTTATTTCCTCTTTAAGTAACTTCTCGTTGCCTATTTCCGCTTTAAGATACATGTTGAAACTAAATTTTCAAGTTTCCGGCAATTGGCTCGCCATGCCGAGGCTCAATCTCTCTCCTGCCTCTGTCTCTTGCTCCTTCAAAATGGTTAGTTTTATTTTTCTTTTGGAAAATGAT